GCCTTAGACTACAATTACAGCCCCTAAATTATACTGCAGCAGAAATGATTTCAACAAGACCCATAACAGCTTAGACTTTTTTTAACTCGGTGTGTTTACTGCTCACAATCACTCTGATGATTCACGCTTCTTTCACTGTTATGGCACGAGTAAATAAATTTCTTCACTCCCATAACAGCTGTTAGTTTTAAGAGTAATATTGGTATTTCCTGTAACTTTAAAAAGGTCGTTTCAGTAAACAGTCTTTAGTCCTCCTACTTATGTCGATCTGTTTCCAGCGCTGCCTTCGGGTGCAGATGTGTTCGCTGGCCTCACGCTCAAACACAATCAGCAGCTCTTAAAGGGGCCGCACCCCCTGCTGCTCCTAGTTTGCTCAGTGCAATTTATCTTTAGATTTTTTTTTTTTCAGCTTTAAGTTTATAAAGTGTTATGGTTACAGTAACTTTTTAAATACTTCTAAGAAATAAGTCATTTATTTGTGTGGTCTGTTTCCGATGTTGATCTTTTTTCATCTTAAATTTTGTAATTTCTTCAGACTGGAGAAAAACATTACAAATGCTGCCTATTGATGAGCCAATCATCACGTCTCATTGGTTTGGAAAACAGATTCTTAAGAGGGGTTAAGATCTAAGGAGCATCCCAACCAGATTTCCACATTTTTACTTTACCACCTTAAGTGGTGCTCCAGCATGCAAGAAAAAATAAAATTATATGTCTAAAAAGAATTCAAGACAATTATTTATCATTTATTCACAATCCCCTTCAATCTTTTTACAACAGTGTAACCCAAAGTAGATGTTTTGTCCCTTAATAAATTTCCCAGAATTCAGAAATAGACAAATGCCCCTTTAAAAAAAGGTCTAATACTTTTTACATTCGATATGAAAATCCTCTCTTAGAGTCAATAAAATTGGTGTGCAAAGACTTACTGACATCAAAGTAATAATTTAAAAAAATCTAGCAAGCATTTCAATGCCTTTTAAACACATTTAAATGCAAGCAAGAACAGAAAATGTGCAACAACAGCATTACTGCATGGTACCAAAAGCAGAAACAACAATTATCCCTTTTTCTTTTTTTTGTATTTCCTTCCTGAAAAGAGAAGTCGGCAGGATTCAGTTAGAACGATGTGAAGTGGAAGAAGTTCACATCAGCAGAAACAGTTCAAGTTTTTGTCTGAGAACGTCGGCCATGTTCCCCACAAGAGAAAGAGCTTTGTGTGACTTTTAATAGAGAATGCTGTCTGGTAGTGAATCAGTGAGTTATTCACTCCGTTGTCAGCAACATGTGAGCCACCGTGTCTGTGGACAAACAAATCCCCTTCCTGAACTTACAGACATTTATGTGAAAACGTAGCAAGAGAAAAATAAATATTCCTGAAAAAGGCCATAAAGTCAACTCACTTCATCAAAAATTAATGTTCAACTTGGGAACGCTTAGCAACCAAAACACTTCGTTTGAAGGTTTTTCTTTTTGTTTGGTTTTGTGTAGCAGATTTCTAATCAAAAAAATCTATTTTGTTGCTTCCTTCCTGAAGGGGGCGTGGTTGTGCTACTGGTGAGTGCGGGGTGGGTGGTGTTGGAGCCACAGTCTATGTAGTGGTAGTCCTCCAGGCTGTTCTGGGACGTTCGCACCATGTATGACGTTTTCACCGAGGTTCTGAAAACACAGGCAAGTTTTTCAATAATGCTGCCAAGAGCAGGATGTGGCCACAAGATATTTCAACACAGGTCTCCATGGCTACTGTAACATGTAACAAGCTGCAGCTGGAGACGGCACCTGCAGAATCATCATAGAGGTTTAAGAAGAAAAATAAATAAATTTAATATGACACCCGCTGCTGACTAAAACAGCAGGGAGCAATTAAGACATTTTCCCTCTTAAATTAAGTATTTTTGAAAAGAAAAATGCATTCCTAAAACTCAACTTGCATAACTTTATATTATTGTCCTTGCAATATTTTTGTATTGGCCATTGATAACTTCTGACTGAGTTAAACTGCTACAGTAGAGTGTAGACGTAAAGGTTTGGCCTGCAACATTTCGAGTTGTTTGCAAAGCCAAATGTGCCATAACTCAATACATTTTAAAATGATTCAACTTATACAGAAGAATTTATTTTATAAAACTGGAGAAGTAGCCATCAAATACATTTATTTTTATCTCAAATAAATGAATTTAAAAAATAAATATTTACTATATTTAAATTATTTCACACATATTTTACTTCATGCAGGATTTCCCCCAGAAAACTTAAGTCTGGTGTTTGGGGCAGTCATCCAGCAGTCTACCATGTTTTAGAGTTAAAAAAATGTCTGCAGTTGAAAGAAAATTTGTAAATATTATTAGTTAATTATGTGCTATTGCAAGACATTTTTAGCAATACCTAAGCACCAACTGCAATGTCTTAAAAAAGGCAAACATTAAAAAGACCTAAAATAAATAAATAAACAATGCTTAACCTGGTGGAGGGCGCAAGGAAAGCCTGGCGGCCCGCCAGGCTTGTAATACACTGTTATGGTGATGTAGCTCAGTGGTGCCCAAAGTGGGTCCTGGAGGGCCGGCATCCTGCGTGTTCTAGTTCTCTCCCTGGTGGCAGTAACAACCTCCTTAGCAGGTCATTAGAGGAAGAGAACTAAAGCATGCAGGATGCCGGCCCTCCAGGACCCACTTTGATCACCACGGGTGTAGCTAATGCTCCATAGAAACAGTGGTTGGTCTTGTGAAGGGTTTGAATGATTTTACCTTGTATTTTATTTACATTCTAATTTCATTGACAAATTTAAATACTTCGTTGAGAACTCTTAAATATTCAAAGTATCATGCATTTATCAGCTGGCCTGGTTCTACTCAGTATTTGTGCATAAATCTTACTGACAAACAGCCATGAAACATCAGGATTAGTAGAAAGATAAGACTGAGTGGCACAGCAGTAAACATTTAACCCTGACATCATTATTATCAGTGTTAATAATGTTACAGCTGAAGAAAAGTAACGCACCATCCCAGATGAAAGGTCAAAACTAACCCTGACAGATACAGATACAAAAGAGATGAACATTTATAAAACACCAACCCAGTGTCTAGTGTCATTTTTTAAAGCTGATTTTACTAAAAAAATAAAATGAATTAATAAATACAAATCAATGCATTTCTAGTGCTCTTATCACAGCAACTACAACTTACTGCATAAATACGACAATGTTGTGGACCTTGATCCTGGGTATTGTGCAGAAGGCACTGCAAGACATAAAAGCGAGAAAAATGTCACATTGGAGTTACTGAGTCATTTTTCAGTACAAGTTGTTTAGACACAGTTTGGGCGCCACTTACTAGACATAAGGTGCATTGCTGCCGATCTCCACACTGACCGTGTAGTTCACCTGTGAAAAGGTTCAGGCATCAAAAAGAAAAAAAACACAATCAGTTTCCAGATAAACCTTTGCACCATGTACAAAGGTGCAAAGGTAGAGTTTTGCTCAAAAATGACATGCCCTAAATGAACTTAATATAACTCAGGAACAATTATGTTTACTTGAATTGCTCTGGTATCAAACTAAACGTATGACTAGTGAAAATGTCGTAGGTCTAAAAAATAAAATAAGACTTACACAGCTGTAAAAACAATAATTTCTGCATAAAAAGTGCACTTTATGATCTGAAGTCTGTCATAATAAACTAAATAAATTAATTGCATGACGAGTTGAAATGAGATTGGTCATTTCCATGTGGACAAAAATCATCTAAAACTGAAGTAGTTAGTTTGCACAACCTGACACTTTTGCCTATTTTCCCTGTCAAAGCTGAATTAATTGTAGTTTTGGTTATTTTATTATGGATATTTAAAATGTTTTCAGTTCCAGTGTTAAATGTTCTGTAGAAAACTACTGTGAAGTACCTGTGCCAAAATCCATCCATGCAAACCCCCCACAGAAGCATGCAATATTTCAGACCAATGTTGGATGATAAAAATGTTGTTGAACGTTTTAAATGACCCATATCTGCACATTTTGACAACATGGGTGCAATTTGAAGCTTAAAGTTTGTTTCTCTCCACTTGTATCTCACCATAGACAGTCATTCCATTTAATAAGCTGTTAAAATAAATTCAGCACCTCTTCAAGTACAAATTCAGGACTGTTTGAGATTCAGTTTTGAGATGTGTTTTATGTTTGTCTCATTTTCAAAAATCTGATTAACATCAAGTAGAAAAAAAAAAATTCCCCAAACCAAAAGTGAAGTTTGTGCCTAATCTTTTAGCCACGTCTATACATGTTCAGTTTTCAAGCTTTATCCTTATTGTTTAAAAAAAAAACAATCCTGAAAATAAAAACAGCGAGACATTGTTTGGGTGACTTCGTGCAAGTCGTGGCGAGCCACTGAAACGTACATTTCTTCCAGGGCTACAATAAAGGTCTGACATCCAGCTTTATTTTATTTTTGTTCAAATATAGTTACCAAAAGACACCACTGATTTTTAACCTCTAGAGCAAGAACTTTGAAATGTATGCACACATGTTTGCACCCATGTCGCAATAAAGTTTCTACTAATTGTGCAGAAACGTTAACTGATAAAAATCAACAAAGCTTCCTGTTTAAGCGACTGAGCAAGTGACAAATGAGACTCGAGAAGAAAATAATGGCAAATGCTGAGTATTTTTTGGAATATTTTGTTTTCAGCTGATGGTTTAATGCTTAATACAGAGAGACTGTGTGTGTGTGTGTGTGTGTGTGTGTGTGTGTGTGTGTGTGTGTGTGTGTGTGTGTTTATGCTGATCTGGGAACATGAAGGGATAGATATGTGAACAGTGTGACTCACTGCTGATGTAAGGAGTTTGTGTTCTTTGTTGAGTTACATAAATCCTGACCAGTCGGATCATTTGGCAGTCAGACCTGCAGCGTATTCTGACAAAGCTTTTTGTTTTCATCCAACACACCGTCAGTGTGGTGGGTACTGACTTGTTATGATTAGACTGAACTGAATGCAAATTTCTGTATATAAATGCATGTTTTATTTAGACAAGAGAATTTTGTGAATCGGTGCCAAGTTGAATTGAGCAAAGGATTTGATCATTTCAAACCCAGAATGTGCTCATGTGAGAGAAGGTCGCTTGTTTTCCGCACCTGGCTGTGGCTGAGCGGCTGGATGGTGGTGGGGTTGTCCAGCTGCCGAGTTCCCACCACCGTCTTCATGTAGAGGACCTGGCAGCTCACGCTCTGCACCAGCACGGTGAAGAAGTTTGGGTTGCTGAAGTTCAGCGTGCTCTGGAAAGGAAAAACAAACCGAACGGTTTGAAAGGCCGGCTGGAAAGACAAACTAAAGTAATATCAGGAGCAGCTAATGTTATAATTAGAGACAGACTTTTATCCAATCCGTAATTGGACCATATTAAACCACGACTAGGTCAAATGAGGAAGGACTTACTAGAGGAAAGTAGTTTGCTAAATTCAGGAACACTAGATATGTTCCCCCTCGATAGGAAGTAACAGTTGGGATCTCGTAGATCTGAATTTACAAACTGGAATTTGTACATTTGAATTATTAATTGGAAATTTTGATTTTACGAAATTTAATAGGTTATTTGAAAATACAAATTGGAATTTGTAAATTGAAATTTTCCAGTTAGAATTTGCAAGTTGGAATTTATGAACTGGATTTGGCAATTTTGAATTTATGAAATGGAATAGATAAATTGGCATTTTCTAATTGGAATTTGTAAATTCCAATTAAATTCCATTTTCTTCAGTTCATTTTAAACTGAAGAAAATGACCACAGAAACCTCTGAAAACGACAATGAGCTCAACTTCCTTCTTCATGAAATGCAAACAAACATGGAGTCAGATTTTAGCGTTTGTAGGATTTCTCATGTGTTGTTGGTAAAACACCACAAGTCATTTCTCCTGCTCGGTAAATACAACATTTCTTTTGATTGTATTTACCCAGAATGCTCTGGGCGACAGTCCTGCTTTTGGAGTGGTTTCAGGCCCGCTTGGTGTTCACATAATGTATTCAAACCGCAGCAGAGTTCACTTCAACTCAGCGGAGACCTGGGTTCACTTTTCTGGTCTGCGTCAAAATGTGATTGCGCATTCACCTCTCCCCAAACAAATACGACTTTATAAGAAAACAAACTTGATTGAAGTGGACCAAACAGGGTTGGTGTGAATCCACCCCAAGTCCACTGGGTCGGCAAAGTTCTTTCAAGAATGCATCTTCTGCATTTTGACAGATCCATGATGTGTTCTGACTTTTTCGCAGATGTCATAGTGCAAATCTGGAAAATACGTTTCTTTGTCCAATTAGAAATCTAGATTGTTTTAGCAACTGTTGCGGTTTTTGCTGCTACAATCAATCAAAGTTAATATAGCAACACATTTTTCTCCATTTTAAGCATTCAGACACCAAAAGACTATGATCAGAGATGATTGTACAGAACTTCAAGTGGCTGGAGTTTTTTTTAGATGCAAATTGTAAAAGGACTGACAGGTCAATTAGACCTGCAGCAGCCATATTGCTGCCAGGTCAACATGGCAACATATTGACCGACTTAAAGTCTGAACTGTGGCTTCAGGTTTTCTTGTTTTATTTCCCACTGATAACTTTCAAATAGAGTGCACCGTGCTATTCACAGGCTTCTTTTCTCAGTAATCCTAGAAAAGCATTACGTATATTGCCTAAACTCCTCTCTAATAATTTTGCTTTAGTATGTTTGTTGTGTGATCCCTTTTTTCAAATTACAGGACATCTGAAATCTGCCAAGAGCATAAAAACAGACTGACCAATTAAAACTATGTTTTATATCATGCAGAGGTAGGAATGCCCTTCCTATATTAAACTTTTTTTAAAGGAATTTGAATCTGTCTAAGGCAGAACCAGCAGGTCAAAGTTCATGAAAACATCTGTTGCATAATTCTGATAGTTGCAACTCTTGACAGGAACTTTTTTTTTTTTTCTTTAGATAAACAAGAAGTAGTAAATACATTCTCAGATCAGAACATGTTGCAATCATAATGACCACAGACTTTTTTTTATCACATTATCAACATAGAACAGATGGGGAACATAACTAAAGGAGAACACCTATTGGTCAGAGCTGCCAACTACTTTGCATTTGCATATTGCAAAATGTGGTAATTACAATATTTAGAAATTGAGAAGCCTAAATTATAGTAATTTTTCAGGATATTTATCAAAGATGATATTATTGTGGAAATAAGAAGAAACCTACCGTCATGTTCATCAGGACTTTCTTGTTGGTGTGATCAAAGTGTACAGTCACTGAGCGGATCCCGGCGTCCACCACCACCACCGAGCGGGGGAAGAGGAAGAAGGCGACCAGAATGGAGGCCAGGAGACAGACCACCACCGACAGGACAACGTACAGCTTCCTACACACACACACACACACACACACACACACACATCCCACAAATATGGATGTCTCTAATAGTAAACTGGATTTGCATTGTTCTTAATCAACATTACTGTGTTGCAGATACAATTATTATTTTTAAAAATATATGGTTTTTTTATCTAACATTACTAAAAATTCTAAATTATTTAAATAAGGTAAACAAATGTAATTGCATAATATATTTTACCTTTTAACGTCATAATCCGCTGTATTATGCTTTCCTTTGGGGGGTTTTTTTAATCTAATTTTGCATAAGTAGGCTATTTTTGTCTTATTCTTAAAAGCATCAACACTGAGTAAAACCTTTTCAGTTATAGCGAGGAGGAATGTACTGATACTAGTCAGAAAGTGTAAATAATGTTAAACGAATTAAATTAAAATGAAATACAGTAAATGGAGATTTAAAGTCGTGGTTGCTCACGTCCTTTGTGGCTGCAGCCTTTGGTCGCTGTAGGGGATCAGCGCTACCAGCTCGTTCACTTGTTCTATTATGATAAAAAAAAAAGAAAGAAGTTAAACTATAGCGATACAATTCTGGAGGGAAACAAAGCTAAGCATGTCAAATAAAATAAGTCACCGTGTATGAAAAAAAACAAACAAACAAGCTAACTAACTAAAATGCAATATCTCGTCTTGTTTATCGGCTCCTACTCACCAGAAGGGATTCTCCCGGTGCCCTGACATGTCGGACAGGTTATGCTGTCCCTGCCGGTGAACTCCACGTACGGAAACTGAGCGATATCCTCTCGCCTGTCAAGCCCGTCCAGAGAGTCGTTATCGGGCTCTCTGTGTCCTGCTAGCCGACCCTCTGGCTTTGTCTCCGGGAGAAGCGGCAGGCTGCTGCCGCTCCGAGACCAGCGCGTCCCCATGACTGAAGCGGGAGTGGCCCAAAGGGGAGTTCTCTTTCCAGACTACAGACTTACAGTACTTGTCAAATAGTGGGGCTCGTCCCCCCCAGAGGGGCGTGGCGAAGTGTCGGGTGGGGGGGGGAGCGAGAAGCAGGACTTTATAATTGTCTTTATTCAAGCTTAACTGATAAACAAGCCTCCGGTCTCTAGGTGGAAGGAAGCAGTGTTCAAACTAATCAACAAACTGCCTGGTTGAGCCAGTAGACGTAGCTAAACAGCCCTGTTGTAAACGGAGCAGAGGGATTAAAATAAAAAACGGAGCGAAGGATACAACCGCGGATGTCTTGAAATATATCTACCGTCATTCTGTCCCAGGAAGTTAGCGCCGTGTCCCGGGGGAAGCAGAGCAGTTGGTATTCAGAGAGGGACCTCGTTTATCCAGAGCGTACGTTCTAGTATGGCGTGCTTCAGCTATTTCGAAAGTAATGGTGCCCTGTAAATTTTCAAACTTCGATTTTAAATCTCTGTAAATTAGTAAAACAAGTTTATTTAACTTTGTTTAACAATTAACGATAACATTTCAGTTGAAAGCTACCTTCACACAGCCATATTTCCTGTGTACCGCTCCTCATCCTGTTTCATTTGAAACTTTACTGTTTTGTTGCATTCAGGTTCCTGCCGAACTGTGGTATTTTCTTTTAACAACGTGGTGCACTGATGCGTTTAGGGCATTTATGTGAAAAGTTGCCTTCACCATACAAAAGTTATAACTTGTTCAATGTCAACTGATCGACATTCAATTATTTTTTTTTTATTCTGAGACATCCTTTATCGCTGATATATGTGTAGACTCTATATGCAAGAATAGTATTCAGCACTTTAAGGCAACATTTTATTGATAATTGGGATGCTCACTACCGCCTTCTAGTGTTTAGATATAGTTTTGCCATTCACGGTGAATATGTTCAGGGGCCCCATAAATGCTAATATTTTAACACAGACCACAGACATATAAATGTAACATTTATTTATTGTGAACATCAATGCTGCTAAATCTGATTTAATGGTTTCAGCATACAAAAAATTATAATTTTTTAATTGTTTAACATTTAAATGTAAGATTTTAAGGAACTGGCCAGTTTACTTTGTAGAAGTTCAAAGAACAATCGTCATAGTTAGATTGTTTTGTTGCTGTGAGTTTAATCTTTCTAGATTAAACAGTTTCTAGATTAAACTCACAGATTAATGAGAGTTTGAGCTTTGTTTGTTCACAAATTTATCTCTATAAAATACAATTATCACTGATTGAATTTTAGGTTGGCCAGTTCAACTATCCCTTTCTCCCAGAATTCACTAAATCCATGTTGAAATGCTGCTAGTGGTGCTGATGTTCTTAGCAGGAAGAGAGGCCCGTAATTGACTTAGGGGCTTAGAGTTGTACGCTTGAGGCCTCATACAGCCTTGGACCGGCCCTGCCTGGTCTGCAGGCCGCCAGCTTATAGGCTTATAATACACTGGGGGAAAACCCTGGGTAAGAAATGAGACAGGCACCACCAGAAGATCATAACTACAACGTAAGAGGAGTCTCAGTTTGGAAAAAAAAAAAAAAACATCTGTTTTAATTTAAGAATTTTTACATGTTCCATGTCAAAAAGTATGTAATTTCTATTAAAAGTATTCATCCCCTTGGATGTTTCATTGCTTTAAAAAAAAATCAATCATCATCAACAAAATTAGCTTTTTAACAAAAAAACAAAAACAAAACAAACCTCTTCATGTGAAAGTGAGTCAAAGTCAGGTTGTGTGGGGATCGGCCACAAATTCTCTTTGGGATTAAAGTCTGAGCTTTTACTAGGCCATTCTAGAACATCTATCGTGTTTGTTTTCAAACCATCTCTGTGTAGCTTTAGCGGATGATTCAGGAATTATAAATATTGTCTAAAATTGTGGTTTATTTCACCTTCTACCTTTACAAGCTTTCCAGCTGCTGCTGAGAAAGATCCCCACAGCATGATGCTGCCACCAGCATGCTGCACAATGGGGATGGAGCATTTGTTGTGATGTTCAGTATTTGGTGTCTGTCCTGTCTGGTATGATCCGTTTCTCACAGGAGCATTACTTAAACTGACTTACAGTTTGCAGAAAACACAACAGGGTGAAATGATCAAACTTGTGTGTCTGCAGCCTGTATAACGTCCATGTATGAAACAGCCTCTGTGTCAGCCGGACAGAGAGGACATCCCGGTCAGACCACTTGTCAAAGACGAAATCATGAAAATTGAAACTGAGCGCTCGTTATCCAGTTTTTCCATTTTCGTTTTGTGCACTTTTTTTCATTTTTCATTTCAAACAAAAAAATGAACTGCCTGAAAATATACGGACCGGTTCATTCTCCAATTTCTCGTTTTGGTTTAATAAACGAAAATAAAAAAAAATTAATCTGTTTTCACTTTTTGTTTCAATCGAACTGCTGGAAAACACACGGACCCTGCCAAATACAGTGTCTACTTTAACACTCAAATAAAAAAAAAAAATTCTTGTTAGTTTTTTCTTGTCAAAAACACAACACATTTTGTTGATTGTGATTGATTTGACCCGGGCTGATCCACACCAAGATGCAAACATAAAACTATGAAAATCAAGTTTATTATATTACTGGTTGCAGTATAAGTGTTGAAATAAATGTGGAAAGAAAAGATTTGAGAAATACATCTTAAAAATGTTAATTATGGCCTTCTGTCATGATCATAATCCGTTTCTCAAAGAAATAAATGTGTGTACATATATATAAAGGGACAGTTTATATACATAAACTGTCCCTTAATTTCATTCCATGTGTCCAGACACTATGACATGGCCTCATAGATATGTCCTCCAAGCTTCTTTCTCAGCTCGTCGTTTTCTCTCTGCAGCACTTTATTCTAAGAAAGAAACAAAGATACAAACTTGAAAAAAAAATTGCATATCCTGTGTGAATTCTGTAAGCTGAATGCTTTTGGTGAAAATTGCAGAAGCGTCTAGAGTCAACTGCAGAAGACTAGCATATATTAAGAAATAGGCAGAAGCAGCAGAAAAACAGCATAAATCTGCAAAAAATGCATAGAACAACCATTGAAAAGGAGTGAAAACTTTCAGTCAATGTCAAAATCCCAGCTAAGGAGTATTAGAAGCACTGCTTTCAAAGATAAACTGTAAAGTCACAGCAGTTTATAAGTTGAAATGAGCTAAGCAGTTAAGGGAGCTATCATGTGATAGCCTAATTCAATATGCAAAACACCCGTAAAAGCTAAAACTAGCTAATATTGATGATAGCATGTAGGCTATGTTGACCTACAGTAACAAACTCCATGCAGTATGAGAAAAACCCATATAAAAGCTAATGCTTACAGCACTGACACAACAGTCAGAATCATATTAAACATTGCATTTTGCAGTCTGAACTCTAACTTTGCCCAGGCAAAAGAATCAGTTTGTCTTAACCTTGTGTCTGAGTGCCTCCACTACCAGGTCTCTCCCCCCTCTGACGTTCTGCTCCTTTTTTGAAGCTCGAAAAGCGTCGCCGATAGCTGACACCAGGACAGGAGCCTGAAAAGGTTTGAAAATAATTCCATTTTGAAGAATAGACACAAAAATCCCTCTACCCACACCAAAATAACAGTTTTCAAGGTTGTCTAACTTGTTCTTTTCTGTTTACTATGTTGGGAATACTCACAAGCTTCTGGCTCTGGAACAGGTAGCAGTGGTACATGTCAGCCGCAGGATGCTGCGCTATAAAGCCGAAGACTTTGGGTGAGTCGCGCAGGACGGCACAGAAGGAGACGGTGGAGAGAGGGCAGGAGTACAGGAGGAACTGAGGGCAGCAAACATGAGGAGAACACTGAAACGAAGGCACTAAATGTACAGTTGAAACCAGAAGTTTACATACACTGAATAAAAAGATGCATAGATATTTTTTTTCTCACTGTCTGAAGTTAGACCAGACAAAACTTCTCCATAGGGCCAAAAGGGTCTAGCAAATAGCTAGTTTTTTATTGGTCTAATGTGATATTCTAATTTTAGGACACACTGAATGTTTTGGGGGGGTTTTTACCTAAAAGCCATAGTCACTAAAATTGACCCCAAAAAAGTAAAAGCTTCAAATATTTCACTATATGCGTTATGAATCTCTATATGACAAAATGACTATTTCACTTTCTGAGATGAAAGGTTAACATTTACTGCACTTTTACACAATATTCTATTTTTTAGAGATGTACTAGCATACTAAAATAAGATAAGCTGATCAAAAATACAGTGGAATAAGATTCTAACAATAAGCTAATTAGCATCTTGGCTAGCACACCAGTTTAAAATCAATATGAAGTTCCAGCTAACAAACTGAAGCCTCTGAATTTTGCCAAAAAAAAGTGACTCTACCAGACTTTGGACCATAGCTGTACTGTCACTGCAGTAGCCAATCAGAATGCTTCTTTCACAGACCTTGGTTTTGTATTCCAAAATGTCAATCCCGCTCATGGACAGGAAGATGAGGACTTTGCTCTTCTTTGCTGCTTTTTCTGAGTTGAATCTATCAGGCATCTTGAAAGAGGAATAAATAAAATGTCAACTCAGAGGTTGAGCTAATAACAAAATGGATTGAAAATTGAAACACATTGGACCTTTAAAAATAACAACAAAAAAAACATTTAAAAAAAGATTGATTGACGTTAACGATTCAGACACACACAGTTTGTGGAGATACAATCTGAAACAGTGTGACAGTAATTCCTGACCTTCAGACTCTGAACAGCTTCCTCCAGGATCTGCTGTCCAGAGGACCGGACCACCTCAACCCGGCCAAGAAACTGGTTAGAAACAGAAAGTGGTGTTCAAGAAACAGCTTTTCCTCAAAATTAACCTCATTATCTCAGTTTCATACAGTACTATATACACCAATGCTGAGGCTTTTCTGCTTATTTTTTTAAACACAAAAAATAATAATAATTACCTTTACAGTGAAAGAGATATCACTTTCATCCTCAATGTCGCTCATCTTTTGGCTTGTTCCCAAATGAAAACCTGAAACTAGCAGTAAGTGCGTATGAAAATAAGCACAAGATTGTCAAACAAACTGAAAAGCTAAAGATTTGATCTTACCTTTGGTGAATTTACTGAAGTGTCCAGGTTTCTTGTTGCCGTCCAGGCCGAAGGGTATAAAGTCTGCTGGAGTTAATGAGTAACAAACATGTCTTCCTTATTGCTCTCCAGCTGATAACTGGGGCTGTTGGGAAGCTTTGCTGCCTCAGAGTTAGCAACAGCATCAACACTAATAAATTCACAAACCAGTTTTTTATTAAATCAATCTGGGTCAGACTGTTCCGAAAGTTTCTTTGGTAATATTAAATATATGTATTAAAAATAGTAATAAATATTTTTCTGTTTTTAAGTATTTTTGATAATTGTTTCCACTGGTTTTGGATGCTGTGCAGCTGGAAGGACTTTGGCTCTTACCTTTTTACCTTTGAACATGTAGGGAAATGCTTCAGTTTCGTGTCTGTGGTAAGGCACAGCGCACCAGAGGATGGGGGCGATCCATTACTCCCATCCCAGTGTAGAACACCTTTCATTGGTTACTTCAGGTGGACACTCCTCTGTGCTGGAGGTTTGGACCCCAGCAGCAGATAGAAAAGTTTGCCAAGTCAAAACATATTCAGCAAATGTATTTCATCTCCCCTTTTAGCACATTAACTTTTTTTCAGAAAAGCCAAAAATCACTTCAAGCTAGTATAAAAATATTTTTGAAAAGTTATTTTGGAATTTTGCCGTTTCAGTCAACCTTTTCTAATGGCTAGTGTCTTCAAATTCATTGCCATCCACAACTGAAAATTCTTGGATGTGTAGTGGGAAAATTTAAGGTTTCTATGATTATTAGCTGAATCATTGCATAGCAGTATTAAGATCCTTGTGTGATGCGTGAGGTTTATGAAAAAAAACTTCTGAAGGGCTTTAGTTACTCTGGCCTTAGCATTTCAGTGAAGTCACTGGGCTGTTTCTTTATCTCAACCCAGATCCTAGCGAACCTTTATCTGGTTCCTATGTCCTTGAATTAAAAAGGTTGTAACATAACCACTATGTTTGTTTGTTTTTTTTCCTGTATAAAATACATTGAAGAGAAAATGT